ATCTTTATTTTTCTCCTTGACCAAATCAATTGGTGGGATGATTTGACGTTAACTCTTAATTTGTGGATGTGTAAGGTTATCACTCAAATGTCAATAAAGCTCTTTGGTAGTACGTTCACATGGTAACATTTAAGTTTTTTCTTTAATTCTTTTTTTGATATTAATGCCACTATTAAAGTGAAAATGTTGAAAATATAATTCTTAAGTTGCTCAATATAAGTAGCAAAAATGTCTCAAATGTTTTATCCCTGCAGTGACTTAAACAACAACAAGCAACAACTTAAAACAACTTTATTATTGGCAGAGATGGTATATTATAATTATGTTGTAGTTCAATTTTATCTTTGGTTTCATTTTCATTTTCTTTTGTTTCAAACTCATCATATCATACATTACCTTACCCAAAAACAAAATAAGATAAAATTTAAACCAACGATAAAATTGAACCGTGACATACATGTACATGTGCACTTATTCACACATGTCCATCTTGACTACAATAATTTTTATTTTAGCCTAATGATACCTTTAATCATAACATTTACTAGTACAACAATACTATTGATTGGCTATCAGCTGCCCTGATTTTGGCATTGATAGGACAGTGGAATAGTGCAGTTCGCATCATACCTAAGTAATTGGACAGTACACAGTACACCAGTTTCCACCGTTGAACCAAAATTGGTCAGAGTTTTCACAATCAATAAATTTTTAATGATTAAAAATACTTTCCAAAGTTAAAATCTTATACCTGCCAACTTCTTCTGAGATATAAGCGTGAGATTTTTATCCTGGGAGTGCTAGGATTTTGGAAGACGACACAATCATTTCCGAAGATTCCCGAAGAAGTCCGAAGTCTTCCGAAGACGTCCGAAATCTGCTGAAGGCGAAGTTATCGAGAAAACGCTTATCGCTTATCGCCTAGGATGCGTATAAACGCGAGCTCCCTCCCAGTGCTTTTCACTTCAAAGATCATTTTACACATGGTTTTCGTTCCTTACATGGGTCTGAGTTAACATATTTTTGGAAATTGTGTCAAGCAAGACGGCAACAACTCACATTTTTCAATCAGGCGTGAGAAATTGGCCCGCAAGCGTGAGCCGGCGTGAGATCAAAGTTTTCAACCCGCAGGCGTGAGAGTTGGCAGGTATGAAATCTGGCCAATATCCTGTCTGAATGACTCAGAAACCCAGGAAAGGGTACTTTAGGGAGGTAAAATCCAAAACATTTTCTGGGAAAGCATGCCCCCTTGACCTCCCTAGAAGCTTGCACCTGCTGTGTTCGTTTAGAATTTAACAGGTAAGTATTTAACCTAGATCCACGCCTGGTACATGTCATCATGCACACAGCTTTTAAAATGGTTTTTATAAAAGCTTAACTTATCACAAATTAATTTTTGTTGTTATGGTTGATTGGTAACAGAACTTTGTGCTGTCCAATTTGGTTTATAATCATGCTTACAGTTTTGTATATAGAGGATATATCACACAGTGGTGCGAAGATATGAATTATTTTTGAGTGGCAAAACAATATTTTACTAACAAGTGCAGTGAGTAAGTAAAATATTGTTTTGCCGTGAAAGCCGCCGAGTAATGTTCTTTTTATTATATAGACAAAAAGACCAATAAAATAATAGATAGTCGTGCCAAAGAACACTCGGAATGAATTCTTACAGACCATCCACTCAGGCCACTAGGGCGAACCCAAGTGCATTCTCCTGGCTAGGGAGTATGCATTCTGGCCAGGTATCTCCAACGACATCAGATAAATGGTCAAAGACTGTCACTTATGCAACAAACACTCACCAGCTCAGCCAGTGCTGCCTATCAAGCAACCTGATCTTCCCAGTCAACCACGGGAAAAAATTAGGAACAGACACCTTTGACTTCAACAGAAGAAGTACCTCATGATCGTCTACTATTACCGAAATTATGTCATCAATAAACTCACGTGTGAGATTGTGGAAAAATAAACCACTCGGGTCCTGGATGTACTTTTTATGAATTTTACGAGTGGTATGTTTTCCAGTAAAACACTCATGTCTATATAATAAGATGAAACAAATTGGACTCAAAATACATGGTTGTCCAATTTTGTTAATCATTTATAGGATTACAGACTGATTTGGAATTTCTAATAGTGAACTAAGTGTAACTTCAGTTGCAAGTTCCCACAAGTGTCCATCCTACTGTTTACACTTGAACTGGCCTTTAAGAGGATCATCTCTTGAATGTATTAATTTTTGCTTATATAATTACTCTAGATTCTGGATCAGTGTGTATAAATCTAGAAGAGTTCACAGATGATGATGTGTTTGATGGCAGTATTAGTTATCATTCTCAAGACAAAAAGAAAGGAGCATTTCTTCCAGGATTAAAGGTTACAGCTGAGATTATTGATGTTGAACGGGCACCAAGGACCCACCCATTCAATCCCAATCTGTAAGATGTGCACAATTATTTTTCTCTTAAACTAAAATAACACCAGCTGCCTATAAACTACTATTAAATTTACATTATTGACCAAACAGGAGGTCAAGATGACTTGATAAAAATGTGAATACATGTATACATGTATTTGCTGAGATTTTTTTTCTTTTTTATTGTGCATTTTTATGCAGCAAGACAAAGTGGAGGTCACTAAAAATAAAAATAATAAAAGAAGAAGAAAAAATAGTCACTGTGCCATCTTAACCAAACAAGCTTGGCCAGTAGAGGATTTAATGTATGACAAAAACAATATCTTTTCTTTATGGACAACATGGGCAATCTGGAGCAGGGAAGATACAATTGTTGTTGGCCAGCCTGTTCCAGGCTCTGAGATGGTGGTGAAAAGTCGTTTAGTATAAGAAAATAATGTGAAAATCATGCGGGGGCTGAAGAGAGACAGGGCGGTGGAGCCTCTCTCTCCCATTTTTCCCGCCACCACCACTACCCCCTTTCTTTCAAAGCGAAAAGACTTAAAAGTCTTTTCGCTTTGCTTGTTTTATTGCATCCCCACTATACTATCTGAGAGCCTGGCACAGGCTATTGCTGGCCCATTGTGCCTGTTCTGGTAGCCAGCTATATATCAGGACACCACACCATGGCAATTCGAGATCAACAGAAAAAAAAGGGAAATTAGATAGAATAATAAGGAGGGAACTTTTTCTTGCAGGGCCAACACGAGAAATACCGAGCAGGCAATTGGTCCTATCTCAGGCGGCCAATCAGAGCACAGGGTTCCCTTTATCTTGCCTGCTTGTGGAGTGAGCCATACTATAAACAACTGTGCTGTTATAGACATTATAATTTTTTTTGTCAGTTTATCACTTGTCTTTCATCTTGCATCATTCACAAGATGCATGTCTAAATGTTATAATTAATCATACCCCTAGTAAGATTTATTGGACTGAAATTATTTGATTACCACTAAATGAAAAATATGTATAAAAATTATTTTTATTTCCCCTATTTCTTGGTATTCAGGTACACAATAAAGCTAACACATGGGAGCTTCAGCTGGGAAATTAGGCGACGGTATAAACACTTCTTAAAACTTGATGCAGAGCTGTTCTTTCACAAAGTCAACGTGCGTCGGCACAGTTTGCGAAGGGATCACACACCTGAGCTTCGTCATCTACCAAGCAGACACTTGCCAAGGAGGCCAGACATGTTTGCCACAACAACTAACATGGAAAAAAGAAAAAAAGCTCTACAAAAGTACTTACAGGTCATTCTGGATAACCCCAACTATCGAAATCACAAAGAGACCCTGAATTTTTTGGAAGTTAGTCATCTTTCCTTTCAGTATGAGCTGGGAGAAAAGAGAACGTGAGTAATTTTTTTCTCCTTCAGGGCATTTATTTTATTTGGCAATTTTAGGCAATGAATTTTTTTATTCTGTAGCTACACATACATTTTATTTTAAATTTCTGTCATCAAACCCAATTTACAAGTATGAGCAAGCAGAAGGATAAGCACACAGATTTTTACACATGCAGATAATATACAGCTGTAAGCACAAGCTTATGCATGATGCTTAAGCTTGTGCTTACTGATCTCTTGTTTCCTTTTACTGTTCCTATTTTTGGTGTCTAGAGGCTACGCCAAGTAAACTAATGTTATCTTGTTGGCCCCTAGTTTCTATGAACATTTACATACACAACTATTAAAAGAGGAAACGGAAGACAATTAGAATTAAATCCTTATAGAAGGCCAATATGGGAGTAACTCAAGCTGATAATGTTTTTCCCAACTAAAGAGAGCCAAATAAGAGCTTCCAAATTGTTCTTGCAATAAAGAAATTTCCTTCTGTTCTTTCCTTCTTGTTTTCTACCCTTGTTTTCTTTATGTCCGGCACAAAGTGAATATGTGGACATGTTCCATCCTGAATGACACCCTGTGTGATACTAAAATCTGCAACTTACACCCCCAAATGAGATCATGCGCAACCCTTTCATGTGGGAGTTTACTTCCCCCGGGTCTAGTTTGCACGCAATACAATAGCTTTTCTCTGTCGCTGTCGCATTTTGAACCCTTCTTTGTGTCGTTTGTCGCCATTTCTGCTGTCCTGTGTCGCTGTTTCAAGGTCGTGTAGCTTGTCAGAATTTTGCCTTAACAAGGCCTTGTTACTATCAGTATTCTTTGGCTTTTTCTTTTGCTCAATATCCTAATTTTATTTTATTGTACTGTACTTTTCAGGGAAGGTGTTTTGAGAAAGCGAGCAGGGGGGCAGAAATTCCCAGCGGGCTGCTGCAGTTGCTGTGCTGGATTGTCATGGGGAATATGGGACAAGAGGTAATAAAAAGTAGATCTAATTCTTTTTTGATGTTCTACTATATAGTCATTTTTTTTACCATAGTTTTAGTATTTAAACTTATTTCCTCTCCCATGCTTCGTTCTTAGACGTTACCCCGCCTTATTGATCAAATTTACCGCTTCCTCAATTCTTCCTCTACTTTCAAAACCAAACTTTACACTCAGGAAATACTCAGACTGAGTTGCTCACCTGAAAAACTGCACTGTTTCCGGTGTGCATTTTTTACGTGTTGTGTGCCGTCCACATTGACGTTTTTTATTCAAACTGGGTCATTGAGTCTTTTTACCTCACAATTGAGTTTATTGTGTGTCTCTGCACACCACTGTCCTTCCACTGTTGTCCAGTTGTATTTTTAAATAATACTGTAGCACACGTGCTTCCTAGTGGCATATGGAACATCCCTGATGATTTTACTGCACTGTTATGCATATTTAGAACGTGAGATCCTTGATTTACAGACATTTGATTATGCTCTTCTTTTTTTTTTTTTTGTAGATGGCTCGTGGTTAAAGACAGTTTTATTGCATATGTAAGGTAGGAACCACAAAGAATATAAACGTCTGGTATACATGAATCAATGAAATTTTGATAGATTTATTAACGGACGGACGGACTGACGACCCAGAAGGGCAGACCGACCGTCCGACTAAAAGGGCGGACGGACCGGACCGATGGAAGGGCAGACTGGGCCGACAGATAGACAGACCGACCGGATGGACAGATGGACGGACCAGACCGACCAACTGGACAGATGAAGGAGGGATGGATCGACCGACCAATAGGTCGGACGGACGGATGGACAGGACCAGGCTGTTCGACCGAAGGAAAGACGGGAGGGCGGACTGACAGTAATTCCGTCATATTTTTCGAAAACTTGTTGCTTAAAAACTTTGGTAAACCTCTTTGCTGCTAGCCCAGATGACTTTTACACTTATAACCCATGTAGTTGAGCGCACCCTTGCTTTCGTCAGTGTGGTAAAATAGTTATTACTCTTTACTCAACTGTTCAACTGGGGCGCATACTCAGTTTACGTAGCGATGTTCTGTCTTTAAACTGAATATAGCCCCAAGGATAAAGAAGTGAGGGGTGTGGTTTTGATGGACAAAGAGTTCTCCTTCAAGCATGGAAGGAAGCAGACAGGTGTCAGTCATGGTTTGCTTGTACATAACCAGAGCAGGTGAGTAACTAACCGGAGTGTTTTGTAGAAACTAAGGTTAATATGTAACTTTGCCAAATCATCATACAGGAGCAATCTGAAAGGAAAAGGTAGTTTTGTTAGCTCAGAAATAAATTTTAAGGGGAAAGCCTCGAAACGTCATTCTGTCAAGAAGAGGTTACATTTTGCGGTGCGTTCATTCAGACATGCAGATCTCCCGCGAGTCAAAACGGACAAGAGCATCAGAATCCAGCTTTGTTTATTATTACCACATTTTCACGTCATTTGTAAACTATAGCAAAAAGGTCATATGGCAAAGTAGAGCCATTCGTTAAATTGGAGTTTCTTGAATGAAATTGGAGACTATTAAGTGGATTAATGACACTGGCGGACAAAAGTGTTTTATTAGCTTCTATTCAACTAACGTGAATGATGAAATAATACCTTGTTTTTTCTGCGAAAAAAGTTAAATAAATTTATGTTAATTTTAGTTCTTAATTTTTATTGTTAATTGTAGTTTACCCCTCAAAAAAATAATTTTTCCTTTGTAGGGAACTTCTGTTGAAGTGCTGGACAGAGCGGAAAGCAAGGTACAATATATAGTCAACACGCAAGAAATTGCGCCAATCTCGGACTTCTTTATTGGTGTCGATTAACTGATCTCTTCCGTGTGGGCAAAAATTGCCAAAACTGGAAAACTTCGTAGATTCCAAGGCCGCCTTTTATTCAAACAAACTTTCCTGGTCTTTCGAAACGACAGCTGATGAAATGGAAATTTTCTGGGTAATTTTTCCCCTAGAATCTTTCGGCAATTAATAGGGACATCAGCATATTCATGAGGGAACGTTTACTAAAAGTAAAAATATTGCCCCTGATCTCCGAGTATGCAAAAATTCTCAAATTGTAAAAGTTTTGAAAGCAAACCATTTAACTGAAAATTCTCGAAATTCTGATAAACAAAATTTTCAGGGTGAAATTTGGGAAAATTTGGGATTAGCTGACAAGGTTGTTTGTTAATTACGGAAATTCAATATAATCGGGAAAAAATGTTCCATTCCCTGCGTACGTGGAATTTCAGAAATTTCTGTTGAGCAGGATTCTTACTACCAGTTGCCAGCTACAGCTCTAAAGCGAGAGTATACAAAACTTTTATGAGTAACTTTTTTGAGACGTGAGGACATGTTGTTTATGGTTATTATAACCGTATATCAAGATAGACCCATAAAGGTGTAAATTTTGACCCACAGTGAATGGATGAAAGCGATTGTTCACGTGATGGCGACAGCCGGTGCAGATTGGATAAAAGAACATCCTCACGATTCATTTGCCCCGGTCAGGGATAACTCCTGTGCACAGTGGTGAGTTTACTGCAGATATCATACTGCACGTGCTAATGACTGATATCATTACCGGCACTGCACTTGATAACGAAGAGTAACAAAACTGCACGTGATAACGATTGATTTCATAACTGCACGTGGTAACGACTGATATCATAACTACACGTGATAACGACTGATATCATAACTGCACGTGATAACGACTGATATCATAACTGCACGTGATAACGACTGATATCACAACTGCACGTGATAAACCGGCACCAACCTATAATACACCTTATTAGCCATCAAGTTGTCAGTCATACTTGAATAAAGTGAAAATTTATAGAATGGTATATAATTATCCTGCGAAGGCGAGGTAAATAGTGCCGTAATTATTCATGAATTAGGGCTAGGAGACAAAGGAAATTTAGAATTGACCTAGGTTAAATCAAAATATTTGACCTGTAACATATATATCGAACCTGAGGAGAACAGGTGTTTTTGTTTTTATTAAACGGGCCATTGTCGAGTTGCCTCAAGCCTCATTTTCAAAATGAGATTAAAGTGAAAGCCATTCATATGAAAATGTTTTTCAATTCTCATGCAGGTAAAACTGATTTTCACAAGAAAAATTTTTGCACTTGGCCTCGATTTGAAAGAAAGAGTTTCTGGAACTCGGAATTGGCCTACAAACAAAAGAAGTCACTTCTCATTAAGAGGAAGAGAGAGAGAGAGAGGGGTTTCTTTACATCATAAATGGACAATGTTTACAAATAATATATTTCGGGGATCGATTTTGCTCGTGTGCATAAAATCATCTTCTATCAACCTGTAGACCCCAAGAAACCTTGCTGTCGTCATATTTGTTGGAACAACTGCTTCATTTATCGCTAGAATTTAATCTTCGGGAACTGTTGGGTAAGGAGACGCCATTTTGAATCCCGTCCCAAAACAGTGAAAAGGCAAGGATATTCCGAGCTACGCGAGCTAACCAAAATGCACGAAAATTTTTATCCGATGCTTTGGTAAATTACTCAAAATGATACCTTTATTTATGTGACCTCACTGGAGACAGTTTTGCAGATATATAATAACCAAAACTGATTCATCGGCAGGTTTGTAGATGGAGAGTCATATTTCGATAGTGTAGCTGATGCTTTGGAATCTGCAGAGGAAGAGATCTTCTTAACTGGCTGGTGGTAAGTGATGATAAATACCGTAAATCCTCTATTATGTCCCCCCGGGGGAGACGAGGGGCGCATTTGAGAGTGGGCCTTATTTAATTTAGCAAAGACGATTGTATCAGTTCTCCTTAAAGAACTAGAATACACAGCTGAAAAGCTCAAGTACAAGAATTTGGAGGTCATGCAGCCGAGGATCTAAAACAAGTCGGAACTTCCGGTTGGTGAATAAATCATCCCGGATCAGTCCACATGAAGTTTTAAAAGAGAAGAGGGGGCTTATTTACTTTTTTTCCCTGAAAAAGGGGGGGGGGCTTATTTGAAATGGGGGGCCTAATAGAGGATTTAAGGTACGCAAAGTTCGTTGAGGAGCTCGAGGTTAAGAAGGCCGAAGAGTTCGTCGTCCATAGGCGAGAAATACTCATCTCTAAATATTCAAAGACAGAACACCCGTAATGCAATCCCAAATACAGGGAGTCAAAGAAAAGGAGACGGTCAAAATGTGCTTCATCTTCACTTCATACAAATATGGTGATTTTCATATGTGTTTTCTATCTTACTTTTAAAGCAAGGTTCTTGGTAGTGAAGGTAAGGTGGAGAGCTATCTCTTGTCACCTCGGTATCGCCACCGTCGCTCCCGCATGAAAAAAGGAATGTCTGCCATTCATTACAATTATAACCGTTTTACTGACAAATCTTATTTTTCAAAAACGCGTAAATATTGTCCTCGTGTTTGTCAGGTCTCAGTTTTTGTGGTCCTTTATTTCATTAGCGGGAAGAAGTAGCTTTAATGTACAGTATTAGCTAGTATCTTGTCCTTGCGCTTGGTCGCAAATTAGTCAATAGTTGTTCGTGTTTATAATCATAATATTGGCGTTTTTTTTTTTCAGGATCAGCCCAGAGGTTTATCTTCGGCGACCAGTCACTGCTGGCCATGATTGGAGACTGGACAACATTCTAGAGAGAAAAGCGGTACAGAAGAATCCCGTCTCAATACCACGAACCTCCCACGCAGACGTTCTTTTGGCCCGTCACGCAATCCTTCTCAACGAAAGGAATGCGTGACGAATCCCTAAAAACGTTTGCGTGGGAGGCGATTCTACCACCCGTTTAACATAAACATCTCGTAAATACAACTACCACATTCGAGAAATGATGGTATTCAGTGAGTGAAACTATTAGTGCCTCAGAAGAAAAAAGTAACCCGAGTTCTTCTAACAGGAGTCGAACTTATGACTCTCTGGTTGCGAGACCAGGGGCCCGTTTCTCGAAAGTCCCGATAATTAACGGGCCCGGTAAGCTGTTGCCGTTTACATTAAAGATCGAGGTTTCAATAGTTTTGCATCTAACATGATAAAACTATCAGTTAATGAAACAAAATAGTGTAGTTTGCCAGCCAGGACCGGCGCTCTTATTCTTTATTTCGGTTTGAATATTTGATTTCAGGCCCGAAAAGTTACCGGGACTTTCGAGCAACGGGCCACTGAGCTACAGGAGACTAGTGGGTGTTAAGGCCATTTAACTAACACATTCGTTTTTCTTAGAGGTAAATCAAACAAACAAAGAAACGAAAAAAACACACTCAAATTCGTTAGTACGATCAGATTCTTGTCGTAATGTTGCCCTTTTTTGGCTGGATAAATCTTTTAACTGCCAAGATCTGATTGGTAGTTCTGCTGTACATGTCCTTGTACATAAGTTAAGAAAATTTGGAGTTATATAGCTGATACATCTGTCTATCTGCTCTATAATGTATTGATATTAGAAGAGGAAGTTACATTGCAGTCACTTCTGGAAATTAAAGAGTTAATGGCATTCCACTATACTTACCTCTTTATTGCTTCTTTGATGTGTTTGATATAAATTTTATGAGCTTGAGAAAACAGCCGACATTTCGCGACGCTACAACTGGTTTTCTAGCGTAATGACGTCTAAGAAACAAGCGCAGAAATTCCATACTGATGACGCCTTGCTTCCCAGATCTGGGTTTTACCTCTGATTGGTCGTGCCGCACTTCAACCAATCAGAAGCACTACCCAAATATCTGGGTACTGACGCTTCATCAGTGGGGAATTTCTGCGCTCGTTTCTCAGACGTCATTTCGCGGGGAAATCAGTGGTGGCGTCTTGAAATGTCGGCTGTTTTCTCAGCCTAAGTTGTTGGTGTTGATCAGTGAAGTTCAGGGTTGGTCATGCCCTGCATCTTGGTAGGGAAACAGTGAATATGTATTTGCACAACCCTTTGCGCCATCAGCAATTTGTCTTGTATTTCTCTTTTACCAGAAAGATGGAGTGAAAATCTATATTTTGATCTACAAAGAGGTAGAGTTCGCTCTGACTATCAACAGCGCTTACACCAAATCAAAGCTGATGAGTCTACACCCGAATATCAAGGTACAAAAACCAAACGTCACATTGGGTATAAACATGTTGTGGTAGTAGATTAATAAAAATGACCTGCAAGGCTATTGTAAGCCCTTCCCCTCCATTTCTTTCCCTACCATTTTTCGCTTAGCGGCAGGCGCTTTTCGTCGCCGTCTCATCGTTTTTGATATGTGGTTACTGGTATAATGTATTCATGATCATGAGTGTTAATTTCACAGTGGCATACAGTAATAGCCCGCGTATGAGAACCTGGGTTTTAAGAACCTGTTAGGCTAAAATTTTCATTTTAAGCCCCCTCCACATAAGAACCTATTTAGGCTAAAATTTTAAGTTAGGTTCTTATCAGTGGGGTTGCTGTAAAAGTGTATAGGTAGAAACTGCTGAATTAAGATCATCATCTAGGACATATGCTGTACCTGCACTGAACTTCCTATATAGGCATTGCTCTATGGTACAAATAAATGATTTATACTGTATTATCAGATGATATTTATAATATATATAGTATATTCAAATGAAATTCATATGAAAATATAACAACCTATTTTAAGAACCTCGGTAGCCTAAATTTGCTTTAAGTACCATTTCTATAAGAACCTATTTAGGCTAAATTGAAAAATTCAGGTTCTTATACGCGGGCTATTACTGTATCGCAGGCTACCAACCTAATAACTATTGTTTTTCTCTGTCATTGATCTATGTTCAATAGGAGATAGCCTTTCCCCGGTTTGGAACATAAGATATTAAGTTATTCCTCTCTTTGGACCCAAATTTCCTTCCCCTGGTGGTCTCCCCAAAGTGTAGACCTAATACTCTTTTGTATATGGCTACAATAGTACGCGCGCTCTGATTGGCTGTTTTCTTGTAATGACTGGGCATTACTAGCAAGGTGTCCAAAGCATATGCAGTCCGTGTTAAACTTGATGGTGGACATCCTTATAAACATCCATGTTATGGTCAATTGACAGCTGTTAAAGAAGGTATCCGCTGACCAGTGTCGCCTGACTTCATCGTGGGCTCAAGTGTACAACTCATTCCCTGTAATGACCGCACTCTCGGTTAATAAGTTGTTTGTATTGCTTCACATACAGTGCACACGCTCACTTTTGGGAAATTATTATTTATACCCACTGTAAGTAAGTAGTCGATCTTAGGGAATAATGACAGTGGTTTCCTTCTGTTTATTAATTCGCTCTGGTTTCAGGTTTTGCGGCATCCAGACCACATAGCAGGGCAACGCGTGGTTTATTGGGCGCACCATGAAAAGTTGGTGGTCGTCGATCAGAAGGTGGCTTTTCTTGGGGGTAAATTCTTAAATACCCTTGATGATCTATACCTAATAAAGATTCCTGGCAAGAGTTAAGCGAAGCCAGGGTGCAGAGAAAGTCATTTTTACAGCTTGCCATTCAGGCAAGCTGAAGCTAACATTTACTAGCCCAAGCATCATTTCAACTAGCCCCAAAAACGTTTTGAAGAGCAGATTGATTTCACAGTTCTTCTGTAATTTGAATTCCTCAAAAGACTTCACTTTCCCGTCGGGCAAGTTGATAACAGAATTCACTGGCCCAGTAGCAGAATCCTGTAGCCCCGGGCTATCGGACACTACTTTCTTTGCACGGTGGAAGCGATAGAGAAAAGTAACGAAATCCTTGCAGGATTGAGATCACTTTTTCCAAATACCGGTAAATGCGCCCCTATAAACATAAGGTTTTTGCAATAATTGGTTTTGGGAAGGGGCAACTGGAATCTAGAAGAGAAACCCCTGGTATCGTAGTCGGTCCTCATTTTCAAGAATTTTTGGTAAAGGTGTTCAGGTGCCATGTTGTTGTACACCTTGAAACATGTTACGCTTTTAGTTTATTCATTTGTCAGAAAAAAAAATAGTCATTCAAAACATTGGAAAAATAATAGTTGAAGGTTACAATTGACGTAAATTGCAAAAGTGAAACAGTTAGAAGTATTTTTCTGGCGAGGAAGCTCAAATTGAAACCTTAAGGGCTTTTTACATGAGCTCCTTGCCTAACCTAAGACTATAAATCTAATAAATAAGCAGCCAGAAATCATGTTTATAAGTTAGGATAAAAAGCAAGCAAAACAAAACACACTAAATGTACAAAAAGAAGCAAAAAAACAAATAATATTTATAAGTGGAGAATCAGCTGAAGAGAAATGCTTTCAATCTAGATTTAAAAGGAGAGATAGTGGAATAGGTTTGCAAAGTCTTACCTCGTGTTTTTCTTCTTTTTTTTTTTTGTTTTTCTCTTTTTTGTCGTTTATTTGTTTGTTAACTTTAGTCAGGTTGATATTGGTTCGTTTTAGGTCTTGATCTTTGTTTTGGACGCTGGGATAACTGTTCGCACCGTCTGACAGATTTTGGATCAGCACTACTGCCTCCGCCTGTAAACAAAACGGTAAGTAGAGCCCCGGGGGGGGGGGGGTTGTCCCATAAATAGAAAATCAGCCTTAAACATCCACAACACAGGTGTAAACGCATGAACGAAAAGAGGTAGAATATGTAAAAAGGGAAAATGGAAATATTTAAACAAGGAAAACTCGGAAAAAACGAGCATGACATCTACGATGAGCTGAACAACAATGGGATTTGTCTTAGTTCACCCTGTTGGAATTAAACTTTCGAAAACTTGAAAACCTCTGCTTGGATATATCTTGTTACTTATGCTGATATTTATCGCGCGTGAAGGCATCTTTATGCTTTGCTCGTGAACATACAATGTATGGATACTTGCTTCAATCTCACAGTCGACATGTAAAGCGGTGCGTATACAGCTATTTCGAGAAAGGTTGTCGGACAAGTGCACGTGACAAGCCCGAAAGGTATTGTGGATGGTTTTGAGTTCACCGTTCTTCAAAGAAATTTTGAGGAATGTTAAGACAAGTCATAGACGTATGCTTGTGCGTGATAAAGGAAGCAACAAAAGTAGGCTCGACAGCTATATTGTCAGGAACCGTGTATTGATCATATCCCATATTACCTTTCGGGATTGTCGCGTGCACATTTTGTCCGACAACCTTCTCGAAATAGCTTTATATAAAGTAGTATTAACGCAGCTCTTGTTCACATTTGTACGAGATCTTCTCATATTTCCAAACAGGAAGAGCAAATTAGGAAAATCGGCGCCTTGATTGTAGAAGGAACAGTGGAGGGAATGAAGTTACCGTTTCGTCCCGATGTAGTAGACGCGGCTAGGTTACAGATGGAACCCGGGACTACCGGAGGAAGCAAAATATGGCTGGGAAAAGATTACTCTAATCCGGTCAATAGGGATTTTTTTGAAGTGAACAAACCGTTTGAAGGTAACGAGCGATATACAGTCTATGCTATTCTCATAGCATAGACACCCCGGAAAGCTTCAATGTGCTTTTTTCACCAGTGTTATCTATATCGAAGGAGGTTAAGCCCTCTCCCGGTCTAACATTTTAGGATAAGTTGTTTCCACCGCAACGACATTCTCGCAAAAAAATTGTAGTAGAATCACGACGACTATCACGCTTTCCCGCCAAAATGACGCAGGTTCATGCGGGAGCACTACTCAGTATTGAGGAAATCTCGTACTCGTAGTCGTCCTTGTCTTGGAATCTAAAGCTCTCTAATAACCTCCGAAATCTGTGCCAGTCTTAATAACATACGAAAGCCAAATCCTATAACTGTTTTATTGTTCATTCAAAATATGTTCAACCTAAAAACATTCTCACCTCGACCTAATGTAAAGTTCCCGTCTTCATTCGTCGGCTTTGAAGTAACACTGCAAAACGTTGAACGTACAGTTGTGTCACTTTATAATCGCTGTTTCGCACTCTCCTTACGTGATTTTTTTCCCCAACTTTTCAGTTTTAAGTTGTACTTGTTATGCTAAGATACTGAAAGAAAAAGAGTAAAACAGTGAAGGTGCGTAGGGTTCTTAATCCAGAGAAGGCTAAGATTGTAAGTTTACAAGGAAGAAACTAACTTCACTTGAGGCAAAAATGAGACTTTTCAAAGAGAACGGAAACAAAAACGTATCCCTGTTGGACTCACCGCGCCCTCTTATTTACATAGGTCATGTTACTAAGTATTATGTAGTTCTTAAGAACTCGTTGAAAGGTATCTGTGCGTTCCAGTTTGAATTGGAATTTGGAAATGCTGGCTTTTAAGGAGAAGGGAAAACCGGAGTACCCGGAGAAAAACCTCTCGGAGCAAAGGAGAGAACCAACAACAAACTCAACCCACATGTGGCGTCGACGCCAGGATTCGAACCCGGGTCACACTGGTGGCAGGCGAGTGCTCTCACAACTGCGCCACCCTTGCTCCCCCAAGGTCACAAATTTCCCTGTGCACACCGCGATCCCTGTGTCGGGAGCTTTCTTGCAATCAAAACACTAAGGGGCCTCCCACTTGCTCGTGTTGAAATTTATGTTTTGGTGCCATTGTTCACTCTCTTTGACCTCTTTTGTTATAGATTCTGTAGACAGGGGTGCTGTTCCTCGCATGCCTTGGCATGATGTTGGAATGCGAACATTTGGTGCGTCAGCCAGGGATGTGGCCAGACATTTCATCCTCAGATGGAATGCCACTAAGGTAATTCGGTGCTTTCGGAAACTAAAATTCTGTGTAAAAATTGGAGGCGACTTACATTGACAAGCTTAAGATTGAGAGCGCCACTGGTGGAGCTGAATGCTTGGACTAGCCTATCTAATGTTCGTCAGATTAAATGCTCTTTCACCACAACTATAACCTGCGCTCAGGTTGTTGGATACGTCAGCCATGTGATGTCAGCATCCGTCAGCAATCCTTTTCAGAACTATACTAACTTACACGACCATCTACACAAGAAATTTTGATATTCTTAGCTTATAGCTTCTTAAGATACAGTTAAACCTGTATTAAGTGTGCGTTTGCGCAACCCATCCGTGTGTCCGCTTATTGGTAGAATTGTGGGCGAAATACAAGTTTGTTTTACAGAAAGTTTGAGAGGAAAAGTATTGGACTTAATTGTTGGCTTCACACTAGAGCTTTCAAGAATACTGTCTTCCTGAGCGCAAAGGCCTCAAGGTTTTAGCTTTTTTGGCGAGCAATCGTGGTTCTACCGCGAAAGATGATTGACAGCTTGCACTTAAAGCAATATACTTTGGCAACCAGTGTGGAGCCATAAGTTTTCTACAGAGCCAATTAAGATTTTCAAGTGCACTTGAATCAAGTACTTACTTGAAACTAACTTAGCTTCTTGTGTGAAGCCAACAAACATTAGGTCCGTCCATTTCACTTACGTTTGTTTCCGTTTACAGGTAGAAAAAGTGAAAATTTATCCTGACATTCCTTACGTGCTGCCCAAATCTTACTCCAAACTGGCAGCTGACAGACCGACAATATCTGAAAATGTTAAAACGGTGGAGTGCCAGGTAACTGAAGAACCTGCTAGTACAATGGGTTTCTCGGAAAGATGTTAATTCAATCCCAGGTTTACCGTCGAAATTTTAATCAAAACTTCCCTCCTCTAGAAACTTGTATTTGGGGCTATAGAATATTATCGATCTTTTACGCAGAGACCAAACTACGTTAACCCAAAATGATGGACCATAACTGTAACAGTCAATGAGAAAGTTAACACAGACAAATTAAAAAAATCGTAGGTTGATTATCGCTTACCGTAAAAACAGCCTAGTCCCTAGGCGTTCTCTCTTTCCCCATTGTCCGCGCGAAGTGTGGGAAAGAGCGGCGAGTATCTCTCGGTGACGTTACAGCTCACGGTAGAGTCCAGGATTGACCGAGCCGAGAACGCCCAGGGACCAGGCTGCCGTAAAAACCCTACAAAGGTAGCGACTGTTAACTGTTGTTATTAACTGTTGTCATGAGTACAAGTTTGCTTCAGGGGTTAGGGTTAGTTTAAGTTTCGGTTTAGTTTAGGTTTTAGTTTAAGTTTAAGTTTAAGTTTAAGTTTAAGTTTAAGTTTTTAGTTTAGGTTAGTCAAGTTTTTCAACTTGACTATAGGGATAGTTCACAGCTGTGATTTTTTTTCTTTTGTTTTTGTTTGGATGACATTCGCGGTCATCATCGTTGTCAAATGTCGTCTAGCACTTGGATGTATTTTATTTCGTGGACAGCAAGGACTAAAAAAATGTTTGTGGAAATATAAAGAATTTCTTTGAAAAATGTCGCCGACATGTCTGAGTCTTTTCATTGTCGTAAACCGTTTAGAACTTTCTTAAGTTGGGAAAAGTGTAAAGTAAATTTTAGAATACAGAAAAACTATCAAACTTTCAGCGGACTTTGGCAAATCAAAGTTTTCTTGTTTGAACGAGGTTAATCACAGCCCAAGTGTGACTTGAAAATCCTTCATTGAGTTCAGTTACTTTCGATAATTATTACTTATTTCTCTGTTAGATTCTACGCTCCTTGTGTGAATGGTCAGGAGGTGTTCCAAAAGAAAGCTCCATACATGAAGCTTACATCAAGGCAATTGAGGAATCTCAGCATTATATTTACATTGAGGTAAATTCTTTTCGCTTTTTATCCCGCTAGACTTGGGCAAGTTTTAGCATAATTTTTAGGATCGAAAGAGACTTGTACTTTTCAAAGACTAAAGCCCCATTCACACCGAATCTTAAACATGTTTAAAGGCTGTTTAGTGAAACACGGTTTGAATTTTCTTTCCTTCATAAAAGCTGCTAACTAACTTAAGTTGATTGCAGATTTAGTGCAAATTACAAAACATGTTGAATTTCATTTGAATCCTATGTGAAACTCTGTGTTGCAGTTTTCCATGTCTGTTGTTTATTTTTTAAAACTTGGTTTAATTAGGCATGTTTAGTTGGTGTGAATGAGGCATTTAAGACTGGGAATAACGTTTTAAAGGAGGCTAACATTATGGAAATTTCATTGAACACGTTTGCACAACGTAATTTGCCTGATGATTCTCCACTGCATTCCTATCATCGCCACACCGACCCTCGTATGCTCTGTATTATTTTGCGTACTTTCCTTTTTCCTCCCTCTTATATATTTCATACTTTATATATTTCTTGTTTTTTCTCTTTTATCCTAAATAAAACTTTTATTTAATCAAAGGGCATTTAATTAGTTTCACTTGCCCTTCTCCATTCATTCTTGTAATCCCATATTTAAATCTTAAGAATAATATCTTCAAATCTGTAATATAATATAAATGGCCTGTAATAAAGAATAAATGGAGAAAATAAATAAAAAATATATAGTTCCAGTCCCCTCCGCTGAGTACCAATCATGAGAGCCTTATGCGGGGTGCAAGTTAACGTATAGCCGTTCCAAACTCCCTTGAGGAACAATTGGTCCTGGTACAACAAATGTCGAAAGGAACCAATTAACTAACTCTGCGAACTGTAATAATCAATTTGATAGGAGTGAGTGAAGTTAATTGAATGGTGGGCCTTCATTTCTTCATTATATTTCTGCTCATCTTTGTTTTACTTGCAGAACCAGTTCTTTATTACGTCTCTCTTCGTCGACAATGTGAAGAATGAGATCGGTGAGAATCTTCTTAGGCGGATAGAAAGGGCGCACAGGTTGGTCTGAATATTTTCTTCCTTTTTCACTCGCAGTTTTTACTCTTGGTGAGTTTAGAAGATAGTTTGACGATTTTCTTTTCACCGTTTTCTAACCATAAATGTTATTTACATCTATATTTATTGCTGCGGAGCGACCGAAGGGAGCGAGCAGCAACATAATCAGGATTTAAAGGAAATATATAAGGGACGACGAATTCTCGAATTCATCACTTTTTACCACAATGCATTGCATTTAACCACACTTTTAACCACAATGCGTTGCATTTAACCAGAGTGCATTGCGCCACGAACAACTCAAATAAAAACACGGGGAAGTTCGGTGAGTGAGAGAGTGCATCGTTCGCTGCTCAGACTTAGAGTTTTCTTTGTGGCAAATTTTCTACAGCACGGTTAGAGGTCTTACCAAATTTTAAGACACGCAGGAGTCTTTCAGATGAGTACGATCGTTAACTTGGGGATTGGATTTCAATTCAAGAGCCTTTGACTCGTCCAGGTGTTAAACCTGACTAGAAGATGAGCATTTGCTCTTCGACTCCGCAACACGGGGGATATACAAATTCCAGCTTGCTAGAAGGTGATGTGAAAGTGAGAAAATGTCATGCAGTGCTATTCTTAAGAAACTGTATGAGGCGAAAATGGATGTGATTTTGACCATTCGCTTCAAAATAACAGCGGAAATCGAGACAACAAAACATATGTTTTGTGTCCAACTTTGCAGACGAGGACGTGTATCGGCGTTTTGAAAAGCATAATTATGTTCTTTCATTCATGAAATGCGTTTACATTGTTTTTTCACTGTTAATAGCTCGGTTAATGCGGCTGGCGATCATCTTGCCGGCGGAAGTTTCATGGAAAAGGAATAAATCAAGACTTTTCTTAAGGATTACGTAATTAGCCTCCGTGGTGTAGTGGTTAGGTGTAGTCGCGTCGAGCCGAAGGTTCAGGGTTCGAGTCCTGCCGAATTCTATATTCCCCATTTCTTTTTTTTTTTCCGTTTTTTCTGTTGTTGTTTTCTATAAATATATAGCTAAATAACTGTTACTTAATAAAGTGCAACAAACAGCAAGAAAAGTATTGTGTTTCCAGAGAAAATATCGTGCACAGTATATTAAATATATGGATAAACAATCTGAATTTCTATTATTTCCTACAATTTCCTGTGGGAAAACCAGAGTTATAACCACTTGATCATTTTCTAAACAACGTTCCCACGAGTTCTTTCTATAGACTGATAGTAATTATTCTAGTACTTAATTCCAACATGTAAATAGGACATTCAACATCATTTTCGATTCTTTTAGTCTCACTGCCTAACTAATGCCAGTATCAACAGAATGTGCCGCAGCATTACTATCTTTTAGATACCCTAGTTTTTGATTAGCTTCTCAACAATTATACTATTGCTAGAATGTTACTATATATTTTTCTCTTCGTTGCTTGCAGAGAAGCGAAAAATTTTAAAGTTATAGTCGTCATGCCACTGTTGCCCGCTTTTGAAGGTAGGTCATTCTTCAACCAAAAAAGTTATGTGCGCATATCAGGTTGCTGTAAAAGTTAGATCGTGAACAACTGTTCATACTCTAACTTAGGACGAGTGCCCTCTCTCTCCAGTGCCTCCCGGGTATAATTTTTCAAGGGAAAATAGAATGTATAAGGTAAAGACAACGCTATCGCTGTGTCATTTCCATTTCCGAGTTCCAAAAACTCTGACTTTCAAAAAGAGGCTAAATGCAAATTTAACCTTTGTTGTGGAAATGAGATTTATTCAGCATGAGAATAAATATATAATCATCCTCGTATCAATAGGCCATTTGCATGATGACCTCTTTTTACTACTAAGACCAGAATTCACTTCGTTTTTTTCTTTCATATTTAAATCTGGTAATCCCAGCGAGGTTAAAATAACAAAAGCCCTAATTTGCACAAGAAAGGAATGTACTGAAGGATTCTGGTAGTATTAGTAAAATGACTCCATTTTTTAATGGCCTATTGCTTTGCACTTAGCCTCGCTTTGAAACAGAGGCTTGACGTACCTCGGAATGACCTATTTACTGCCGTGGTTGTTTTCTTGCAGGTGAAATAGGGACAGCAAGTGGTCGATCGATTGGCGCTATCACTCACTGGAATTATCGGTCAATTTGTCGTGCTTCCCACTCCCTGCTGGAGAGACTCAATGAGCGTGGTAATTATAGCGAGTATCCTAGAGCAAGATATAAAACGATGTCTGTTTACTTTCAGTTTCAAACCAATAGAGAGGACAAGTGTGACGTCACGTTACCATAGTAGCAAAATTTCTGGATCACAACAGTAGGGAGCTTAAGCAACGACGACGGCGACGTCAACGAGAACGGCAAAGCAATATGTTTCGATTGTCAAAACAATAACTTTGTACGTGCTCGTTCATCTAGCCTCAACAGCCGACATTTGGCGACGCTACCACTGGTTTCTCCGCCAAATAACGTCTGAGAAACGAGAGCAGAAATTCCATACTGATGAAGCGTCACAACCCAGATCTGGGTAGTGCTTCTGATTGGTCGGGCCGCGTGGGAAATTTTATTCAACCAATCAGAAGTACTACCCAGATCTGGGTAGTGCTTCTGATTGGTCGGGCCGCGTGGGAAATTTGATTCAACCAGTCAGAATCACTACCTAGATCTGGCTAGTGACCCGTTATCAGTATGGAATTTCTGCGCTCGTTTCTCAAACGTCATTTGGCGGGAAAACTAGTGGTAGCGTCGCCAAATGTCGGCTGTTTTCTCAGGCTATCGTGTATCACTCTTTTTTATACACTTCCTACCGTCGTTGCACGACTGCGACATGAAACTTCCTAATTTAACGCGCCCGCTTTATGGAGTAGGTTGAACGCAACACAAAAATTTCTTTTTCCAAATTTAGATACGGTCCTTTCGGATTCAACCCAGAAAATCGCCAACGTTTGACAGATTGAATGAGATTGAATAAGATCGATAAAGTTTGATTCTGTGCGACTTCGTTTTAAGTGAAGTTTTCAGTTTGTTGTCATCCAGAAATTTTGCTAGCATGGCGACTTGACGTAACGTCTTCTCTTCTCTATCGAGTTATGAATGTTCTGAATGATTTTGATTGTCCTTAAAAAAACGTTATAAAGTATCACCAGTCATTTGAAATCTGTAGACCTTTAGAGACTGTGGAAGAAATTCCTTAGTGTATATGAAAATAGATGTGGTATTTTTGTGCTTTCACTTTGACCTTGGGCAACTTTGGGTTTTTAAAGTGCTGATGCGGGTTGTATTTCTCATAGTGTTTTATTTGGAAATAGGAGATGGAAAGGAAAGATAAAGGCTATTTAGTATTTGGAAACACTATCAACTCTTTAAGCCCTAAGAGCGATAAGCATCAAATTTCTCCTCATTATTTCCGGCTATGCTTTATAAAAACAGACTGGTCATTAGAAATAAAGACATGACCAAACGAGATAAAGTTACTTGACAGTTTCAACAACTTCTTCCCACTACATCCATAGGAAGTGAACAAGGGAAACAATTGAGAATGCAAATTTCCATCTAGGAATTGAAAGGATTGCGTGTGCATACTTTGCAATCCTTTTGTGATTTTATTTTATTGCTTCTCTCAGTTGGCGATCCTTCCAAGTACATATCTTTCTATGGACTAAGGACTCATTCAGAAATTCATGGAAAGCCTGTAAGTTTCAAGTATTCTGAATGGCTAGCACCATTTCCTCGCGGGAGCAGGGGTGGCGCAGTGGTGAGAGCACTCGCCTCCCATAAATGTTGCCCGGGTTCAAATCCCGGCGTAGACGGCATATGTGGGTTGCGTTTGTTGTCGGTTCTCTTCCTTGCTCCGAGAGGTTTTATTCCGGTTTTCCCTTCTCCTCAAAAACCAACTTTTTCAAATTTCACTTCTGCCAGGAATCAGGTAGACGAAGAACTACTCACCTCTAAATCGTTATCAGTTTATGTCAAGATTTTTATATTTATTTATTCTTTTTTTGTTTTGTTTTTGTCCCCTTTTTGTGCACATGGAGCCTTAACTCATAGGGAATTATACTTTGTTCTAAAGGTAACAGAGATGGTTTATGTTCACAGCAAGATGATGATTGTTGATGACAACACAGTTATCATAGGTTCAGGTATAGTTTATAAGTACGTTCCTTGTCCCCTATATACAAAAGTACCCCGCTCGGTAGATGGACATTATCGCCTAATGAAGACCTGCAGTGCGCGCTCAAAACGTCGCGATCATTTCTTGTGACTATCATAAGACAAACGGTAAACGAACCCTTTGTACACATACCACGGTGAAAAAATCTCAGTTCATGACAAAAAAGCCGATGTATTTTAAGTTTTTTTTTTATATTTTATTTTGTTACATTTTAATTAGGTCTAGAAAAAAAGCAAAGGGGTGAATTTTATGTCACATAATATCTTTGGTTTATGTCCCAGTACAAAGATTTTTTATGAACATGAAGTTTGGGGTGCAGGCCCTATTTTCATCTTTTGTCATGTAGGAGACGAAAAAAGTGAGAAAATCACGATACTCATGCGCGAGTCTTGCACACTGAACACGCCTGGCGCGCCGTACTTTAACACCTGTTTGGTAATTGACTTCCCAGTCTTCTTCATAACCGGACTACTCCCCCATTTTGCATCCCTGTGTCCTGCGCGTTATAAAGACGACAGAATGAGGACGAGTCAGTCATCAGTAGGTTTTGACTCTTGCATGCCCATTCAGATCTTTTGTTTGCTTTAAGAAAGGTCCCATGCAGGCAGCTCCAACCAACACAAAAGAGGAAACGCTGTATTCCAACATGAACTACTTTTTGCTCTTTTGCAGCAAACATCAATGATCGTAGTATGCTGGGAAAAAGAGATTCGGAAATAGCTGCTATCATAAAGGACAAAGAATTCGTAAGTATCTTTTGGGATCTAATGGTATTCAGCATCTATTTGCTGCTGTAATGATCGCTAAACTAAGACAGATAATAAATATGTTACTAAAGAACGGTGTAGCGAACATGCATTTTGATATAAGGAATAAAGCGGTTTCACACACCTGTCTACGATTTTTAAAAGGATTTTTTTCGTAGTACCCCATTATTTTTGGAGGGCAAAGTAGAGGGAGTATCCACTTTGATCATCCGTTTCTTCAACGATTTAAAAGAAATTTGGACACCAGAAGACGTCGGTAATAATTCTGTTCACGACATCCAGCCGAAATATTCGCGTGGAAAAATGAGAAGGTATTCTGATATTCCAGTATTCATACAGGCCTAGTAAGCACAAAGTTATGGTAATTGGGACTGAATTTAACCGCTGCATGAGTTGTTCGATGTTTATTGTTTGTTTGAGAATAGGTGCCGTCTATGATGGATGGTGAGGAGTATCAAGCAGGCCAGTTTGCTTTCAGCTTAAGAACAAGACTCTTCAGGTACCATGCACACTACATTAGAGAGATTAAGCATCGCATTTAAGGCCGTTTGCCCTAAACGCGATGCTTAATCTCTCTATTCGGTAACGATGATACAGCTATAATCCCAACTGCTTGCGTGCAGACGCTTTCTATTTCCTTTGTCTTGCAGAAAAGGTCCCTTTTTCACGAGCAACAAAGGAAGTAGGAGATGTCTTCATGTGCGCTTTTACTCCCAAAAATTAGATTTAAAGTCACCATGCATAGCCTTCTACACAGGCGCTCTTAGGAAAGTCTAATTTCCTCGGTTCTCCCCAGCGAGTCAAAATAATAGTCCTAAATAACTAACCGGAAACAAGGGGAGACACAATGCATTTTCGATTTGCTTTTGCCGTTGCTTGAACTGAAATATCATCAGTACGTACTTTGCACTCACTTGTGACGGAAACTGGTATTTAATATTTCATTGTTTGGCTTTGTTTTTGTTTAGAGAGCACCTGGGTTTATTGGACTCTCCTTCAGATGAAGACATCAGAGATGTCGTTTCAGACAGTTTCTACATGGTAAGCTCTACAAACCTTTCGTAAAGTTGATTACGGTCTCTAAAACTTGCATGAGGAACGTTAAGGAACGTATCTAAGCAATTTTGGTAAGTGTAAGGCACTTTGCGAGAAGAATTGGTTAGCAAACTGACTTGTAGACTACGAGTAGTTCCCATTTTTCCTCGGGGATAGTAGAGCGAGCGAAACGAGAGCGCGCGTGAAAATTACCCCACGCGAGAAAGGCGAGACGCGGCTGAGACAGACCGCCGCGTCTCGCCTTTCTCGCGCGGAGTGATTTTCACACGCGCTCGCGTTTCGTTGGCTCTACTATCTGGTCGGAAGATACGTATTAGGTGTGAGTGACCGCGATTGCCGCCAGTCCAGGCCTTGACGATATTCATTGTTTGTATCAAATTTGCTTTTTTAATTTTGTCTTTTTCTCCCTTACAAATGCAGGATCTCTGGATGAAAACGGCAAAGAAAAACACTGAAATTTATGACGAGGTGAGAAGCAAATGCGATCCAACTTCCCGTTGTCCGGGAGATCACGGGTTTGAATGCCTTCATTTCTTGGCACACGCTAGTGACGCGATAAAAATGCATTTTCCTCAATTTATCACTAAGCTGAAATATTCTTCATGGGATCCTCATTTAACACCCTGTAGATCCTGTCGACATTGTAGCCGGTAAATGACGTAGACTGCTAAGGCGTCCTTCTCATTCCGCACCACTCCCCACTCAGTAACTCGAGGCCTGTAACAGCTCGGAAAGCCTGGAGACAAGGGAGAAGCGCGAGAGGGGCATGATGGGAATGCGTGCAATACGCCACTTGCACATCTCCCATGATGGACCTTATTTGACGCCCAAAATTTTGCATAACCTTTGTTTTTCACTTCTCCTGAGTATTACAGTCGTCCCAAGAGAGACTGAAAACAATGCTTATGCAAAACTTTGGGGCGCAAATAAGGTGCATTATGGATGTGCAAGTGGCGAATCAACTCAAATATCCCCCAAAAAGTTATCGCGAGCGACTGGGGACGAGGCAGCATTTTGTAATTCTCTCTCATGCTAACTTCACCCGTGTTAAAATCATTTAATAGGTTTTATCTGTTTGACAGATGTCTTCGTCTTTGGCAAATTTCGCTATATTTATCATTGCAGGTTTTTCACTGCATTCCAACAGATAAAGTTCGCTCGTTGTCTGATCTAAACACTTACAAGGTAAGAGGGGGGAAAGGCTTTTTAGCGCAAAATTATCACTCCGATTTCACAAAGGCCTTTCTCCGTGATGAGGGCGTTTGCCTTTCATGAGACCCTTTACATCACATGTGGCCGCGCGAGGAAGTACCAAAAAAGTATCCCGCGCAAAATAATACCGCTAGCCGGTGGCTACGCAGGCGACATCTCCATCATATCTCAAATTTATTTCCGTGACGCTTACTGTGCGTCACATGCGTCGACTGGTGCTTAGTACTCACTAAAATGTTTCATGCAGAAACAAAGTCGTACTTGGTCTTCAGTTTAAGTAATGATCGTGATGAGAAGGGAAGCGATTTCTTTTGCTATGGCGCAATAGGCTGTCCTCGCTTAGCAGAGTCTTCATTTTTATGCAGAGAATGCGTAAACCTACAAAAATGCAGTCTACGAAAATAAAGTGTAGAAACTCCATTTTTAATAGGTGTTTTTTTGTGTTAAAGGATTTCAACCAATCATAAGAGTTGAAAATAATAGCCAAGAAAAGTTTACAGTTTTACATGTTCCTCACATAGGATTTCTGTGTTACTTAGACTCAGAAGAGATTCTGTTATAAGGAAGTTGGTTAGAAAAACAAGGGATTGATATACATGCTGCTTTTGAGAAGATTTCGTAAAATTTGATGTTTAAACCAATCAGAAGTGTAGTAGAGACAATAGTGAAGATAGCACCTTTTTGCATTCCGAGGTGTTCATTGCGTGTGGTTCTTCCTCTTATCTTAACCGTTACTTAAACGGTACATTCATAACTGTTTTTAGAATCTTAGACGACTTGCTGTTGAGGACCCAGGAGAAGCACGGGCTCGCCTGAGAGATGTCAGAGGGTACCTAGTTGAGCAACCCCTTTACTTTCTGGAGAAAGAGAACCTCCGACCTCCGATAGGCTCCTCGGAATTTTTTGTGTCAGATGAAGTGTTTACGTGAATGTCATCATGAAGGAGGGTCACGTGTTGATTCAACGCTTCTCAAGAATCATGTCGATGGGAAATGAGGGAAACTTCTATTTATTAAGTATTGTATTTAGTTTGCGCTACACTGTCTACAAATGAGGAACTACCTGCAGTAGTCTTATCCGTAACAAATTCAAGAGATGTATGGTTTCGTTTTGATCAGAGGAAATTGAAAAGTAATCATAGCCCAGTAGCCATTATTTCTTTGGTGCAATGAAACTGATCTCCTTGCGGGACCTCAGTTAAAGAACTGGGAAAATGTGTTCGGTTTGCTGTTTAAGCACGAATAGTGATGATTTAACTAAATTCTTCTCATAAGTTAAATGCTTATTCACTATCAGGGAGGTCAGAGAAAATAAGGATACGATCACACATGATCAGTGTTTCACGATATTTTTAACAAATTCTCTCTACTATTCCTCTAGGAACCGTATTTAATGTAATTTTACAAAACTTCCTCTGTAATTGTTCAGGATTATTTAAAAATGTTGGCCTGTCAGAGTTTGCCACATTCATTTTACGTAATGATACTCTCAAAACTAAAGTAGGTAACTATGATAACCGAGATCTAAATGAGAAAGCTAGAAATGTGTTATCCGAGGTTGAGAGTTTTTTAGTAATTAAGCACATATAAGTTCAGCACAACAGACATGATGAATTATAAGCCAAGACTAGAAGGGCGATGATTGTTTAGATATAAAGATTGATTGACTCATAAGAGTTACAATTTTTTGACGGGAGGAGTAGAAAAGTAAACAACAGTTAATTATGGTCGAGGCAAATTACGTTCCGATATTTTCTTCTTTTAGGCCTCATCTAGCCAGCGCCACAGACGAAACTAAACTCTGGTTAAGTCCGTCTGCGAAGCAACCTCGTTCCCAGGGTTCTCACGTTCTGGGCCTCTACTTGAGTACACGCTATGATTGGCCTGTTAAGAAAGGCATCGCCTGTTTGCCAAATCAAGTTGAAAAGAAATTCGAAAGCTACTTCCGGTAACTCGTTGAGTTCGTTGGGAGCCCAGAAAAAGGACCTAGGCGCTGCCTTTTTCCCTTACGCAAACGGTCGCTGCCACCATTTGTAACGAAGTCTTAAGTCATGATAGATGGATTATTTTCCCTGGATTAAGTTACAATAAGGCAAATAATACGCTTTTGAACAGTCTTAGGAATAACGACGTTGAAGCCGAAGTTGAATTTACGTTAAAGTTATAGAAAGGGCGAGGGGCACCTGTTATTGATGTAGCAGTTAAGAAAGACAGTTTGCTAGTGTGTGTACTTTAATACGGAATTTTGGCGAGTCGGTGTGGTAGTGTAGTGGTAAGGGAGAGAGATAAGGATACGAAAGGCCAGGGTTTAATTGACCCTGGGTTGCGATTTTCTTTCTTTTTAATAGAAACACTCTCAATAACAGGTCCAAAATTTTCCAAGTGTCTTAAGAATGGCAGCGACCGTTGACGAAAAGGACAACTGCCTCAGCGTTGCTTCGCAGACGTTACTAACCGGGGTTAAATTACGTCGCGACGCAGGCTAGGCGTAAGCAGACTTTTACTCGTTGCGTTTGCTTTTAGAATGGTACAGTTATTTGTACTAATTTCTTTTTATTTTACCTTGATTTACCTCTGCCGTGGTCCAGTGGCGGTCGATAAGGAAGGCCTATGTCCAACGACGGACATTCCACGACCAAAACTGAATTTGCTCAAAGTTGTTTTACTGTGAAACCTGTGTCAAGTTGACGCCATGTTTAGCGAAAACCGTGTTTTTAAAAACGAACACGAACGTCAATGAGTACCAAAACGCTTTTTTTAACTCCCTCCCTCTCCCTCTCTCTTTCTTTAAAACGAACCTCGACAAATCAGAAAATACCAAGGATCAGGGGCACCCAACGACCGAATCTTTCCAAACACGTCAGAAATGTCTAAAATGGATTTCCCTTTGCTTTAGAAGACTGTTTCATTAATTTGGAGCTGCCCTAAAAACTATCTATCTGCCAGGATGTTTTAGGGGAACTTTGGTCGTCTTGAAAGTTTTAGCGGGCTTTTTCGTCTCATCCGAAAGTTTTAGTTATCCTGACGGGTCTTGTCAAAACTGTGAGGACGTGGAGTAGCTGTAATTTCATTAGGGAATTTTAGGGGACGTTTTTCCTACCACATAATCGCCAAATCTTGGTAATAAATGGTGAAAAATCCACTTGAAGATCACAGGAAAGTTAATAGAAATACTCCGGGTGCCCCTCCCAGGATCTTATGCGCAACGCACGGCTTAATGCAGGTTTCGTTTTATTTGTTTTACTCGATAATCATATAGGAGAAGGGTATTAGAAGTAAAATAGTTTTCAGCAGTTGAAAATTGATAAGAGGGTAGTTTTATATCATTTTATTTATTTCATAACGTCAAATGCGTTTGAGAAAAAACGAAAAGAACATTTTGATGAAATTGCATATAAGTCAGTAATATATTGGTTAGATATTTTTGGTCGCAGGATATAGTTTTATAGATTTTCAAGTCATTTTTAAGGGATCCTGTTACTGTTCAGAATTTAAAATTTTAATACAAATTTAGCTAATATATGGGTGAAATAGCCACCGGCATTATTTTATCCAGTAAATTGTTTTCTTTTAGTGAAGTAACGGCCACAGGGGCTTTCAAAACTGAACACAATCTTTCTTTTCGCCCCTCTGACAGTAGGTCAAAAACACTCATCTTTAGGGGACGTGCCATGGTGTCCGTATTACCGGGTGTCCGTATAAAGCGGACAGTCAGAAAAATAGGTCACAGATGTGTTTTATTACTATAGACTAAAGAAGACAAAGAAGAAGAAGGGTAGGAGGAATGATTGCTGTAAAAAACCAAGGAAATTAAACCTTGTTCAGTAGGAGGCAGTAAACATCATATACCCTTTAAGCCCCGATATCCACATATAAATTCTCCATATTGATCTCCATACATTTCTTTAAAGAATTAGTTGAGAGAGCTTGATAACAGATCAAAGCATTTCCTCTTTACTGGTCATTTTATTAACTCTCATAACCATTTCTCTTGGCAACATATGGATATTGTTAGGAGAAACTTGATGTTGGTCACTATTGGGACTTAAAGGGTTAGAGGGCTGCAATACTGTGCAGTTCCTGAAAAGGTGCAAATATTGGAAGAAAGAAGGGCTTGTCAAAATCTAACAGTCATGTCATGCCATCTTTCTACTGTTTTATAAGCAATAAAATCGTAACAACCAATGTTCAATGTTTTGAATTAACACATGATTGTTACAAGGAAAATAGACAGAAAGTGCACAGGTACTGTCTATAAAGTGGGGTTGACAATATATGACAGTTTGTGTCTCGCGATTCAGAAAAGTGTCCATTGTCCTAATTAACCGGTGTTTAGAAAAAATATATAAGCTTTTCATCAGGGCAAATGAAACTGTCCGCTTAATGACACGTGATTGTGATAGGAAAATTAAGACAGACTGTGCAAAGGTAACCAGTGCACATAACATGGGGTTGACAATGTATGACAGTTTGTGTCTCGGGACACAGAATAGTACCGGTATCCATTGTCCTAATTAACCGGTGTTTAGAGAAAATATATGAGCTTTTCATTAGGACAAACAAAACTGTCTGCTTAATATGAGTGTCCGTATTAAGTGAGTGTCCATAGAGCAGGGTTCCACTGTACTCTAAAATGATGGGAACTTTTTGTTACTCAACTCAGGGATGTAGCTAGGGGGGTCCGGGGGTGCCGTGACCCCCCTTGGTAGGCCTTCTTTTGAGCAAACAACCTACAACATTCAGGTGGCGAAAACGCCATGACAAAAGCCATTGTTGAAAAGCCCACTTTTTTAAATTTTGTTTTTTTTGTAAAGCATTTTCGTCAACAGCTCGTCTTTAGTCAATATGGGCCTTCATGCTGCGCTAATACGACTGAGCCCGCTGATACACAAGGGAGAGCAGTGGTGAGTAGCCTCTGTAACCCCCCCCCCCCCTTTGAAAAATCCTGGCTACGCCCCTGACTCATCTGATTTTTTGAACCCTTTTAGTTTATGGGAGTAGGCCATTGGCAGCTAGCCATTCGACTTTTACTCTAGCGCATGGCAGTTTTGTACCACGTGAACTGCTAGCTGCAAAGGGCCTAATAGCCACTCCTTTTCACTGGAGTTCTGTAGCTACCTAATCTAGGTGTGTTTTCTTAATTTCTTAATGAACACTCCCTTCACTTTCATGGGGCTGGGCAAGAGAGAATGGACTGGGCTTCTCACTACAGGATGTTTTTAAAATATATTTTATATATATATATATATCGATGAATGTGCGGCGGGATTGACTCCTCAGTTTACTATCTTTCCGTTTTACAAGATTCTCAGCCCCTCCGAGGGCATGAGAAAAAACAAAGAGAGGTTTTTTATTTTGAAATATAAACCCGTTCTTAATGATTTGAAATTACGCTAATTGCTCGCGCGTGCTACAAATTACAAGAGCCATTATAATTGTAATTACAATTACGTCTGTGACGTAATAAGTTAATAAAAACACTTTGCTATGCCTGAAGAGCCGCAACAGCGGTGAAACGCATAGCGCAAAAACAAAGAAGACTTTCGTTTTTCATTGTTTTTAGTATCTTCATTCGACACAGAAGTTTACTTTCTATATATTATATATATATAAATAAAATAGTTACACAACCCTCAACCTATTTGCTTGTAATAAATTACTATTGAATGCAGGCCACAAAAATGGTTGTACATTTTGGCCAGAACAACTATTCTCACCGTGGGCCAATTTATTATTTATCATAACTGGCTAGGAGAAAAAAGAAACAAAGCACCAGGCACACTGCGAAAACTGTTGATGAGCCCTAATCGGAAACTCACAAGCAGATATTCTCAGACAGCTTATTGTGTAAAAGGTACAATTCTGGTCGTTCTGAGATATTCCAACCGAAAGATCGTCAGAGTCAAAATCAGTTTTGAATTACTTCCGGGTTTAGTACTTCCGGTTTTCTTCAAGAAAAAGTCTATTGAAAAAGTCTCACTTAGATACGTTCTTTTATTGAACTGTAAATAGCATCTGCCATCTTTTGGTAGCCGTCCTCATTAAAATGCACATAATCACCCAAGAGTCTTTCATCTCGCGGAAGTAGGATCTCGTTGGCCAAGTCGACAAGCACTACTTTGTTTGTGTTTTGAGCGGCGAAATCTCGGAGAAGGTCGTTCACTTTTGACTGTGTTCTGCTTAGATAATAACACCTTCCCGAACCCACGCATTCTCTATCAGGAATGGTGATCGCAACCGTTCTGGCTCCATAACTATGAGTCATGTTGTGAAGGTTTACTAAAGCATAGAAAATAGATTTAAAGTCTCCCATCGACGAACTATTTCTGTACTTTGACAAGTCGTTTGTGCCCCCAAGAATTATCACCCATGTGTATTTTGTTCTTGCATCTTGTAAGATTTTTTCTAAGCGTGGAAACATTTGATCTACCGCTCTTTCACCCGAAATCCCAGCGTTATGAACTTCGAAGATCGGTAATATGTTCCTTCCAAGCAGTGTGTGATGATGAGAATCCAAGTGTTGTTGTAGTGTTATCGAATATGGATGCCGTTTTCTTCCTATTCCAGTGCTACCCGCGGTCAACGAATCGCCAAAAGACAAAATTCTGATAACCTGTTCCGTCTTCGGATGCTTAAAACTAGATCTTACTAGATATAAAATTGAAATTAAAACAATCGCGAAGAACACCCAGCCATAAGCCACAAGAGGTCGTCGCTTACTCCAAAGGTTACTCATGAACATGCTTTCAGCGAAACTTCACGCATCCAGGTTACCGAAATAAATCTTTGTTCCTTCGTAAATTACACAATAAGCAGTAGAAAATTTCAGTCTGACAGGGAAGCAACCTGGAGTAGCGAAAGAACAGAATGTTTTCCATCTCCGCAAAAGAGAAATGCAAATACATTTTCTCGCCTTCTTAATCACGCAACGTGTCACGCTTAGGCACCAGGCCGCTTAATTGCGACGATTGGTTAGGGGAGGGGGGTGGGGATGCAACGTTTCTGTGAGGAAGATATCGGATTATCTTCTGTCATGTCTGTATAATACGTGTAAAGCCGCCATAAAATTACCACTAGACGCAAGCACAATTTTCCAACTCAGCTCTAACCCCTCTAACAAATTGTTATCACGTGGTTGCGTTTTCAATAAAATTAATTTCCGTCTCTGATTGTTTAACCGTATTTATTCGATTAACCGCCCTGGGCGCTTATTAAATTTTTGGACCTTGAGAGTGGGCGCTTATTCGAGGTGGGCGCTTATTCGAGGCTGGGCGCTTATTCGAATAAATACGGTAGTACCGTGACAATGGTGTGGAAAGGTCGGCGGGGAAAAAGCACCCCATTTTGCTTGAGAAAAATTATTTGAGAAAAGTTAAAGGGGTGTTTAATACATTGGTAAATGCACCGTTTTTCAGCTATTCCTTATTTGCCTTCCGTTCCTTTGCTTTGTTTTTCCATTTTGTATTGTTTGTCTTTGTGTTTTATTTGTTTTCGACATTTTTTCCGCAGTACGTACGTGCGTTCTGGCGTATAGGTAGCTGCCTATGACGTATTTTTGGTAAAAACGTTATTATAAAATACTTCAAACTATTAAAACGTCAAGTATTCAAAAGTAGCTAAAAGTTGTAAAAAAAAGAGCAATTGTCTTTGAAAATTTGATTTCCGCAGATTTGTTTAAATTCTGAAGCTGTTGTCATTTGTCAAAGATGTACGAGTCTGACGCAGTGGCCTCGATCTTCCGCTTCTATATTTTTGCCTTCCGTTCAACCATGCAACGTGTATCAGCTAAAAACGGTCAGTGGACACCCTTAGTTTCTAAAATGCTCACCAAAGAAGACCGTTTTTCGTAAACAACGTTTCCACATTCCCTTGTGTGTGGATGAGAATGTACCTTTTCAGAAGGCGATAACTGATATCAGTCTATCAGCGCGCGACATAAGTAAGTCAGTTTGGATAAATGTAACCTGGCCTGGTGCTAACTTCTTGGCTGGCACCCCATGGGGAGGGCAAATAGGGCGCACGAATTAGTAGCCCGAGTATCAGGCCTTCCTAAGGGGCTAGGGGAGAGGAGATTTTAGAACTTAGCTCTCTCCCTTTTTCGCTTCCACCTTTCCCCTTTTCCCCAGAAACGCCTGATACTCAGGCTAACGAATTAGAAAACGCGAGGTGTTCGAGAGAGGAAAGAAAAAGAGAAGAACGAAGAGAGAAGACAGGCTAGAGACGGCGTAAAGAATACTGGGCAGGAAAAGAAAGCGGCGGGGTGGGGGTAGTGAGAAAGGTTAATGGAGATCTTCTCTCCGAGCTCCTTCTTCCTTCTGCGTTTTCCCCTTGCTCTCCATTTCGCGCAACTCTAATCTGTCTGAACGCCTACTCGTCTAGAACAAGCAAGCCACCAGGGGTATGACTCAGTGGACCAGCGAAATATCCTGCAGATTAGTCCATAGGGTGGGTTCTTTTGTATTATTGTTATTCACTGAATGAAGCCCTTTGAATATTGAATGGTTAGGCTTGAAATAGCTCTTCAAACAAAGACAGTCTTCTAAATTGGGCTTGCTATTACATTCGTAATCCATCTGTGCGCCATTGTATTTGTAAACTAGAAATAGCTGTACCCATTCTTTGCCATACTTTTTTTACACTTCGTTGTTTAATTTAAACTCTTAAGAATCATTGAAAGAATATTCGTAAGGGTCATGAACTTTTTCAGCGTCTCTGTGGCTTGGTTTTTTCAGTTAAACAACTACTGGATTGTCATAAGTAAATTTCACTTTTGTATGCTGGCATTGTTTGCCTGAAAAGCTCAGTTACGTAAGCTCAGTTAGTTACAGTAGTCATCATCTTCGTTTCGTGGCAATTTTGACCTGGAAAACTGCTGGGGCATCCAACGAGACTATAGTTCTAAACCACTTAAACATAGCATTGTTTAAAGTCTTTTAGTATTCAAACGGTAGATATAGGCATATCTTTATCCCCTAAAAATTCTTTATCTGTTCGGATTTCCTAGCTGAAAGTCTGGTGATCTGAAAATTATAGGGATCATTTTTCGAAAATTTCAGCCAGAAAAGGGGCTTTCGAAAATGCTAGGTGACCTTTTTTAGGGTAAAAATCCGTTAAAAGTGGGCAATTATACGTACCATTTTTTAGATGTTCGAAAATCTTAGGAGAGGCAGGCAAGCAAGCGAGAAATTTAACGACAAATGTTCCGAAAATTCTAGATCTCAAATATTCTTCCGAACAGATATTTTCCGAAAACTGACGTTGGGTGCCCCTAGTAGCACTGACTCTTAAGTTTCGGCAGGAGTATTTTGACGGAGGACCGGTCGAAAGGCTGCCAATAGGCGAATGAGTCTGGCCCCGTATAATATGACCCTAAATTTCCTAAACCTTATCTCTAAACTTCATTGTCATTGACCATTTATTCGGCGTTAATTCCTTGGGGGAATTTTTTGCGGACAGGCGCTCGGCAATAAATCTGATCCCTCTAGCGTTTAAATTGTCCAGTTGGCGGTTCTTTTGAGGTGCAAAACGGCTTCAGCTTCTCATCCCACAATATATGTAATTATTTGTTCTTAAGCGAACAAAGAATAACAAATTAGTTTTGTACAATGAACGGTTATTACTGACAAAGCGAGGCGATGTGGACAAAGAGCGAGCATTTCTTACTGTACGGAGATCTGTACGTGATGGAATTCGAATAAATAAACAGTCTTAAATGTGTTTACTTTACTGAAGTGAATAACAAGAAATTAAGGTCCTTTTTAAAAATACTTTGCACTCAAACATTTCAGCGAATAGCCTCTTGTTTATTAGAAGCGAAGCCCCTGATGAGGGTTAATGGGCAAATCAATTACTTATCCGACGTCCGACTGCTCTCAACCATGCCTTTAGTTTTTTTCTATATTTCTGATCCAGGCTCCAGTTGTTCAGAAGCTGGATAACGCTATCCAGTGGATAGCGTAATCGGTTTCCCCACTACTTATCCGGTGGATAGCGACAACGTTTGAACAACTAAGGCCTGATCTACACCAAGATCCAGCTTCTCGTCTCTGTTGGGCTGTTTGTCCAAGTGGTCCTTACGCGGCATGCAACACTTCACGGCTCGCTGGCTTGTTTTGGGGATTATGGGTGTTAAAAATACATCGAATCTTTGACAAATAACCGTTATATATGTAACCTGACTTTGACGAAAGTGTCAAATCCAAAGTTCATATGAAATATTATCATTATTATCATTATCATTATCATTATTATTATTATTATTATTATTATTATTATAATTATTATTATTATTATGATAAGTAATAATCGTTATAGATAAAGCTCTCGTCACATCAGGTGGTTTTCAGGGAGGTCGTCTCTAACCAAGATAAAATAATATATAAGATACTAAAGATAATTGCAATTAGCTACGTGATATGTCACTTCTCTTATACAATAGCTGTGGCCCAAATATAACGGTCTAAAAGGCTAAAAATGAAACGATGACAAAGTAAAATTCGGCTGAAACTTCTGCCGTGCTTGAAAATTTTACATGGCATAGATTTCCTTAGATTTCGTCTCGGGTTGAAAAACCATACCTTAGCTAGTGTGCGACAAAATTCCTGTTTGGATGGTATCTGAAAGCAACCCCATTCCAGTGGGGTGTCTGGGGTGTAAGGGGGTTTCGCTAGAATTTCGGCGGTTAAACGTGCGGGTTTTGGCTTGTACGTACGTGTTCAGTGTTCTGGCCCCGGTTGTTCAAAAGCTGGATAGCGCTATCCACGGGATAAATCGCTATCCAGAGGATAAGTATTAGGGAAACCAATTGCACTATCCATTGGATAGTAATATTTATCCAGTGAATAGTGCTATCCGCCTTGCGAAAAACTGGGGCCAGGTTTCTAACTTCCTTTATTTTTATTGCGGTTACATTTTGAAACACGTTTGTGGATACATGGATACTAAATCGCCTTAAAGCTGACCCTTAAGAAGCTATCTAAGACATGATACAAACTTCTTCAAATGCTTTGTACCTAACGCTCTGAGGTGCCGCCTTAAGAGCCTTTTTTGGCCTTTTTTTTTCTTCCCCACGTACACCCCAAGTAGTTTAAGGTTTGGTCAAGGTCCACTGCGGTCAAATGAGAAACATTTTTCGAAATTGTTGCCAACTTTTGAAGTTTGGGACTGTTTTTTTTTTGTTGGTTAAATCAACAAACTACTCTAACTGCACTAAGCTTTGCTTCAAGTTTGTAAGTTTTCATGATTTGTCCTTCCTGACTCTGGTGAGTTTGTTCAATAAAAATGGTCGTGCAATTAATTGCAACAGAGGGGGATAAACTGCTTATTTACGAAAAGTGATAGGTATATGTTGTAGTTAATTTTTTATCTCAGGTAAATTTTGTTTTTCTTTTGTTTTTGGGTATGGTAATGTATGCTCATGAAGTTGAAACAAAAGAAAAATAAAAATTATACCAGAGATAAAAAAAAATTAATTACAACATATATACTGAAACTCACCCATCGACCATCAATTTTGCCGGGGGCTTGTCCTTGCTGTAGGTGAAAACCCAAAAAATTCAAATGGAAACCTGTCGCTGCTAAGATGTTTGTCAAGGAAATTAGGTCAGGGGGTTTATCTAGAGAAAAAGGCTTATTAATTATGTCTCCTAAAGAATGTTACCACTTAAACCAAACCTTGTAGATATGGAAAGAACTCATTACCAACATGGAACACTTGAAAATAGCAATATTTATTTTAATCACTTCAATATATCGTGTACTCATGGTCTTGGAATACATAGCCAAAATTCGGAAGGACTTACTTGACAGACGATTTTTCTAAGAGAAAACTTTAAATGAAACACCGAAGGCATATTAAATATTTCAACCAGCCCGAAATTAAGCATTTGAACAATCATTCCAGACAAATAAAGAAGGTAA